GATTTTGATTTATTTGTGTTATAATTCCTCTTATATTTTCTTAGATGTTTTCTAGTTATTTGGTTTTTTTTTGTAGTCATTTCCTTGATGAATATATATATATATATATATATATATATATATGCCACCTTATCTATGCATTAAAATGTGTATTTCATCATTTTAAAAGTTAAAACAATAGTATTTTAGATGTGATATGAAAGATATGGGTGGTATAAATGTATGAAGCAAAGTTGGGTGTTAGATATCTAAATATATAAGAATTAAGTGGTAAGTATGCAAATGCTCCTTTTATTTATTTTTTTTATTTTTAATATTAAATTAAATTATTTTTAAAAGTACTCAAAATATCTTTTGATATTTTAATTATTTTTAAAAATAATTGTCACCCATAATCTCCCAAGTTAAAAATTAAAAAAAGATGTTGCGCGTTATGTTCTTTAGATATTTTTATTTTTAATTTTTATTTATATTTTTAAAATATATTTATTTAGGTTTTTTTTTTTTTTTTCTTGCTTGCGGGATGTAAATGATCCCATTTCAAAGTCAAGTTGGGGATCTGCTCGGAATCCGCTCAAATATAGTGTGGCTCGAAACATTATATTCGATTTCGAGTTGATCTGGCTCAAAATTGAATCAAGCTCAAAATTAGCTCAATTCGACTCAAATTTGAAATTAATTGGCTAAATTAAGTTATTTGGACCGGTTCTAGCTAGAAATCGGCTCAAAATTTGTCATGACTCGTTATATTTAGTTTTACTTGGCAGTAAATATATAATTTTTATAAATAAAAAAACACTACAGCCTGATCTAAAGTCAGTTCAAGCTGATCAATGTATGACTCAAATATGAGTCGAAACAAATTCAATATTCGATCTTCGATCCAATGTTTCGGCTTATAGTTCGGCTTGTTTATTTTGAGCCCATCTTGATCTGAGCCAAAATTTGAACCAATTTTAGAGCGATTAATGATCATCAAGCTAAATTCACGACCTTTATGATTGGCATGAGCAAATCATAATTATTAATTAAATTAACTTTTATAAAAATTTTATTTGTCCTTGTAATGTTATCTTTTTTTATTTTTCATTTGGAAGAAATACATATATACCACATAATTCCTATATATTTACATATCTAACTCATAAACTTCAATTTTTTGCACAGACCCCGCCTCATCTATATATTTACATATCTAACCCATTAAAAGTTAAAAATAGATATATTTTTTGATGTGATATAAGAAATTAGGTGTCGTAAATGCAAAAAAATAAAGTTCAGGAATTAGATGTTCTCTATCTCAATGCCACTTTTTTTCCCTAATTTGAACTAAATTTCAATATTTCCGGACACCAACAAAACTAGCACCCCTAACAATCAAATTTCGAGCTGAGTTAAAATCGACTCGAATAGATTTAGTACAGCTCAAAATCATCTCGTCGATTGTTATATTTGATTTTGAGTCGAACCGACTCGAAATTGAATCGAGGTAAGAAGCTATTTGGATTTGTTAAACTCAAAATTGCATTTAATTGGCTCGAATTGAGCTATTTGGATCCTTTCAAGCTTGAAATTATCTTGTGATTGGTTATATTCAAATTTTCTTTCCATTATATATATAATTTTTTATAAATAAAAAAAATACTACGAGCCGATATCAAGCCAGTTCAAATCGATTCATTCATGGCTCAAAATCGGCTAAAAAAAATCAATCCAAAGTTTCGGTCCATAGCTCAGCTTGTTCATTTCGATCCAATCGAATCATTTTTTCTAGCAATTACCGATCTCCGAGCAAAATTCACAGCCCCAACCAAAACCAAAACAAGAAAACTAATGGCTGAGCAAAGGTTAGCAAACCAGACCTTCAAGCCCAATTCCTCCTGAAGGTCCTTCATCTTTATTACGTATTATTTATTGTACACTTCTTCTTTTATCTTCTTTCTTCTGCTCCATTTCTCGTTTGAGAAATACACAGAAGCCAACAATGGCGGCCATTAACATCTCTTTATCATGAGCAGGCAGCTTCCACAGCCAAGCTCTTAATGACCTTCTCACATGGGTCCCCAAACACGTTGGGGGAGACACTGATGCTGCAACTCTTCAACCCCAAGCATTCCTACAAAAAAAAAACAGAAAAAGAGAGGGAAATTTACATAAATTCCACGCAATTCTCGTGTATTTACATATCTAACCCCTAATGTTTAATGTTTGCAATTACATATAACACTGGTGTTATAAACAACGTATGCATGAAAAGTTAGTAATGGTGGTATTTATACTGTGATGTTAAAGACTTGAGCGGCATGCATGTAAATTTGAAATTAGTTTTGTAAATATATAAGAATTGTTGTATGCATGTAGGGGCTCCTATATGAATTTGTAATAATTGGTGCATAGGAGCGTAAACATGCGGAGCTTGACCAAGCTTAAGTGTTGTTTGGTTCGACTTGCATCGAGTTGTTCATAAGAAAGTTCACGAATATAAAATCAATTTGGAAGTCGTATATAAATTACAGAGACGCACTCATGCAAGGTCCGCATAAATGCATGTACTAAAATGCATATTTCGACATACATAGTTACAAACACAATCAAGCTACTATCGAGAAGAAAACAAGGAAGCAAAGCCTTGTTCGTGTTTAGCATGTTAAATGAACGAGCTTTATAAAAATTAAAGTCATTTACATGCATACTACCCGATTCTTAGGTACTTACATATGTAGCACTAAGACTTTGCTTTTTTATATTTATACCATCCAAATCTTTCGTGCCAAGTCAAAAGAATCAACATTTTAACTTTTACAAAATGAAATAAATCTTTTCATGCATAAGTAAGATGATAAACAACAACAACAATATCAACAACTACAAGCCTTTAGTCCACTAAGTGGGGGTGGCTACATGAATCCTTTTCCTCCATTGCGTCCAATTGAACATCATATTTTCATTTAATTCTAATAGATTGAGATCATTTTTTATGCAATAGGTAAATTGAAGGATAGATGGTGGGTATATAAATACATTGGAATTGAATGAGCACGTATGTGAATCTTCTCTCCATCCCTGAAACTTCTAATGACTATTGTGAAATCCATAATGACAACTGCTCTTTTTTTCGGATAACTATCCTATTTGGCGATCTCAAATAATCAAGATCACGAAAGCTAATGGTTTCTTGGGATTTCTTGACGGAACCATCCCACCTCGGTCTCCCACAATTCTTCATGAAACGGGTTCTGCCTCCGTCGATCCCCTACAAACCATCTGGTAGCTCGTTGATCAGAATTTGGCAGCTGCGAATTCTTCCACTATCTCAACCCCCCATTTTGCCATGTCCTTAGTTTGGAAAGCTGTCATGACCTATGGACTGCTTTGGAAAAATGTTTCCAGGCTACCAACCGCTCTAGGGTCATCCAATTGAAGAATGGGCTCTACATGTTCTCGATGCACAATCTTACCATGTATCAATACCTCATGAAGATCAAGACGACTGTTTATAATATATCCGCTGTCGGCTCTCAAGTTGACATTGAAGATTCATCCTTTATATTTTGAAAGGGTTCCAGCATCGTAATTTTCATTCAAGACTGCCATATGCATGAGATCCACTCCCATTAGTCTTGATAAATTATATGCTCTTCTCATTAGCGAAGAAATTAACCTCTCCACTGCACACATTTCTAACTCCATGGATCCCAATCCTCAGCTTGCTTTATACAACCCAAAAGCAAATCCACATTTTAAAAGGGCAAAGGCAAGAACATGTATTCTCGAACCAGGAAACCCACAGATGGCTCAAATTGTAAGCCTAAAAGTTCATGGTGTTGTTCCCTGCCAAATCTATAATAAACCTGGCCACATAGCATCTCATTGTTGGCATCGAGTCAACAGGGACTATCAGCTCAAAATTTCGATCTCTACTTCCTCTACTACTCAAACATCTTATCTCACCTCTTCATCCCACCTACCCAATTGGTACCTTGATAGTGGTGCCGCCTCACATCTTACTTCAGAGTCAGTTTAACCAACCGAAACCATATCAAGGGAATGAAACTATCATGGTGGGCAATGGCCACACTATTCCAATTAAGCATACAGGTTCAAGCATCTTACGAACTCCAAATTGTATGCTATTTCTTTCCAAGCTACTTCACACTCCCCATATTTATCACAACGTGATCTCTATCTCTCAGTTAGCACTTGATAATAATTGCATGATAATTTTGATGCAAATGGCTATCAAATCAAGGATCACACGACTCACCAGCTTCTGCTTCAGGGTTCCCACTACCATGGTCTCTACCTCATCCCCAGTAACTTACAGGCTTTCGTTTCGGTGGCAACTTACATCCACATAATTAAGTTTTTCATCTCCTTGCTACTCAACAATCACATTTAAAGATGTCTCCAAAGCTTACTTTCTGTAATTCATGTGCTACAGCTAAAATGCCACCGCAATTCTTTGTCTACCTCAACTAGCACACAATGTATTCCTTTAGTTCTTGTTCATACTAACGTTTGGGGACCTTCCCCTATAGCTTTTGTTCAGGGTTATAAATACTATGTGCTCTTCATCGATGATTTATCTCGATATATTTGGTTATATCCCATGCTTAATAAATCTAAAGTTATTACTCACTTTATTAAGTTCAAACAAGAAGTTGAACTTCGGTTCAATCAAAGGATAAAGATGCTGCGATCACATAATGGTGGGGAATATAATAGTCATTAATTTAACATTCTGCTCAACAAATATGACATTGTTCATCAAGTTGTCCTTACACTTCGGAGCAAAACAACGTTGCCGAAAAAAGCATCGACATATTTTGGAAACCACTCGTGTCTTGATGACCGATTCTCACATACCTTCCTCTCTTTAACTCAAGGCATTCCAGACTGCCACTTTACTTGATTAACTGCCTTCCCTCTAAAGCAACTCGGCATTTATCTTCGTATCAGCTTCTCCATGGTACCTCACCCCACTTTGAACATCTCAAATCGTTTGGATGTCAATGCTTTCCTTGGCTACCTCCCGTACACCAAAACAAATTGCAGCAGAGATCTCTATCCTGCGTCTTTCTCGGATATCCTCCTAATATCAAAGGCTATAAATGCTTTCACTGGCAAGATGATTATAACTAAACATTTAATATTCACTGAATCAATTTTTCCCCACAAATTCATGCATCAGCCCGTAAGCCACCCTTTGGCACCTCACGTTACCACTTCTCTCACTCTCATCCCCACGTCCACTATGCGGCCCACTACCTCTTAAGGATCCCAAAGCTGCTCTCTGCCACTTTCACCTCCATTGCCTCTACCCGAAAACCCTCAGCCAACCACCTCTCTGCTTCATATTACATCGACTAGCTCTCATCCGACGATCATGCCTCCTCCCCCAAAACATCTTATGGTTATTCGCTCTCAGACTCGTTTCATACCCAAAAAGGTGATTCTCGATCTCTTGCATGACAAACACCTTCCAAAAGAACTGCTTCATTTCAAAGAGGCCGTCAAATATAAACATTGACAATAAGCTACTGATGAATTTAATGCTCTGCAAAAACAACATACATGAAAACTGGTTCCTTCTCCCACTGATCATTCAGTCCTTGGAAGCAAGTAGACTTCCATAATTAAATGCAACAATGGTGGTACTATTGTCCGATATAAAGCTCGTCTCGTAGCTCTGGGACATCAACAAGAGTATTGTCTTAAGTATACTGATACCTTCAGTCCCGTTGCCAAAATCCCTACAATACGACTCTTACTTATCATCACTCTTCAGAACAAGTGGACAATACTCCAAATGGATTCATCTAATAATTTATTACACAGTCGTCAAGAAGAAACAATTTATATGTATCAACCACCAGGCTATAAAGATCCCACACACCCCTCATATGTTTGTCACCTACTGAAATCAATCTACGGTCTTAAGCAAGGCCCAAGTTAGTGGAACAATACTTTCACAACTCATGTACTTACATTTAGATTCGTCACCAGTGTTGTTGATCCGTCCCTCTACATATATCACCACGCTTCTCATTGACTTTATCTCCTATTTTATGTTGATGATATACTTCTAACTGGTAATGATATTGGTAAGATGTAGCAACTTCAACAAGAATTACAAACTCATTTTTCCATGAAGCTTATAGATTCGGTCTCTACATTTCTCGAGATCAATATTACTCACACTCCTAGTGGCTATTACCTCAACCAAACCAGTTATGTTCACGAGATTATGAATCATGTCGACATTACTACCTGCAAACCGGTGCCTGCACCTCAAACCGTTTCTATCAAGAGCTTATCGGATTCTAATGTCCTCTCCGATCCCTCTCTTTATAGGCAACTGGTCGGTTCTCTACAGTACATCAATTTAACTCGACCAGACATCATGGTTGTTGTTAATTCTCTCTCTCTGCATCTTCAAAATCCGTTTCAGTCTCATTATCAAGATCTCGTTTTACCATTCATAGCAGATCCGCTCACACTTCAAACTTATGTTGATGCTAGTTGGGCCAGTGATGTGCATGACAGAAGATTAATTGCGCTATTGTACCTTTATTGGACCCAATCTTCTCTCTTGGCATGTGAAAAAACAACCTACCGTTGCTCGGTCCTCCATCAAAGCAGGATACCGAGCCATATCTTTGGCGGTGACCGAATTATATGGCTTCGTCGTTTGCTACAGAATTTTCAAGTCTCTCTTACTACACCTACCATTATATATTGTAATAGCATGTCATCCATGGCAATCACTAAGAACTTGATCTTCCATACATGAACAAAGCATATTGAAATTGGCTATCATTTCACTCTGAACACATTCAATCAAATGAGATTACCCTATAATATCTGCCTTTAGAAGCACAGATTGCAAACATTTTCACCAAAGCTCTACCTACTCCTAGGTTATGCACTCTCCGGGACACACTGACGATATCTCCTCCAAATATTATTAGTTTGCAGGGGGCTATTAATGAACCCAAATAGTTATCCCCGCCTGTTATTGTTAAGGCTTATTAATTGTACTTGGTCGTAATTACCTGTTATTATTTAAAGTAGGGTTTTTATATAAGTTTCCTCGTAATAGTCTTATAATGTGACATATTATTTGCTTTCCTGTAATTATGCCTCTCTGTATTCTCCAAATCTATCAAAAACTAAGCAAACACGAGCAATTTATCAATCCAAACACAAACAATGACCTTTTCTGGCGACTCTTTGAGCGAAAAAGAAAGCATCTTAAAACCAACTAGAAGTAGAAAGCTTCACCATTTACCTTTTTAACAACATCGAGGGCTCGATCGCTGCTGCACTGACCATGACTAAAGCCGCCACACTCGCCAGAAGGAGTCCCGAAGCTCGCAAAGTTTATGGACGAGATGAGCTGATTAGGATACGGGCACTCCAGCTTGAGGAGAGGTGTGGAATTCATGGTGGTCTTCTGAAAGGGCAGCTCAGACTCCACCAATGGAGCAGGGTGAGATTCTGAAACATACCCACATATGCTTTTAACCTGCTTAATGGCGAATGATATTTGCTCTGGATTTCCACCAATCTCTTCAAAAAGAACCATTGTGTTGCTTCCAGACTGAACCATGGAGCGAGGCAAATGATACCTGTTTGATTGAACAATTCATGCTAATGAGAAAAAAATTCAAGTTTTGAGGACTATGGAAGCATTTTATAGAATAGGTGAAATAAATTTTGGAAGAATTACATGCATAACACTTAATTGCTATGTATTTACATATATAACACTTAAACTTCAATTTTTACATGAGAGAAGTGTCAAAATGATCCGCTTACTCTTTGTAGGGGCCATTTTAGCCGTAGAGTTTAAAAAAGTGCCACCTTTGTCCCTAGACTCTTTTAGTGGGGGGCTACGATAATCCTTTGTAGGGATAATTTTAGTCCATATTAAAAAGCCTGAGGACCAATTTGACACTTTTATGAACTCTAAGACTAAATTGGCCTCATGAAAATAGCCAGGAGTCAATTTTGGCACTAATTTTTACATATATGACATTTTACCCATGCATGAAAAGCTAATTTCACATTTTAAAAATTAAAAAAGTGTATTTTCAATATGATATGAAAGATTTGGGTGACATATACATGTAAAAAAGTAAACTTTAGGCGTTAGATATATAAATACATAGTAATTGGATCGTATAAATGTAAATGCCCCGATAAATTTTGATTCTTACAGTTGTTGAGAAGGCTTCCCACAGTTTTTCAGGCACTTATCAGAGTTATAAGATCCTTTGTAACTGCATGAATTGCATCCATTTTGTGAAGCGAAATTAGTCGGCCAATACCGGCCGATACTCTGCCCGTTGATCCACACCTCCCCCTTTCCCATCCCCGTGAAGTCTATTATGATGGGATCGTTGCCATCGGGAGCGGCAAAGCTCGCCTGCATCGAGATTTTGACATAAGAACACAAGCTAGTAAAAACAACGGAGAAAAATGCCAAAATGGTCCCTCAATTATTTACATTGGGTAATTTTAGTCCTCGAGTCTATAAAAATATCAATTTAGTCCCCAATATCTTCTAAAATATAGTTGAAAAAGTTCCCAATAAAAAGTATTTAAGCCCCCTTTAAAGGAGTTCAAGAATTAATTTAACACTTTTATAAACTTTGGAACAAAAATAGACACATATAAATAGTCAGGGGACTATTTTGACATTTTGCTCTTTCAAAAATTCACAGCATAGAAGTTGTTGGGATAAAGTGCCGGCGAAAATTTAGTGACAAATGATCATAATCTCGTTAGAATTCCTTCAAAGCCAGCAAAGAAACAAATTTTTAATTATTAGCTTGATAATATTAGCTACAATTTATACAGATATACTTGATATAATTTTGAAACTTTACCTTGTACCAGATTAATGGCTGATTTTTTGGAATATTAGGAAGTGAGACCCAATCTGATGAATTTAGAGAACTGCTATATAAGCCGGACGACTCGCCTTTAAGACCAACCTAAGTTTGCACAAAGGCATTTTGTGAGTTCAAAATAACAAATTTAATTCAAACATGATAGCAATGCGTATAAATCATGAATTGGCACCATAGAAGCTCCATTTAAAAGTACTATAAAAACACGCGCTTATACATTTGACCAAATTCGGAACTACAAAAGTGTCGAAGTAGTCCCATGATTCTTTGCAGGGGATCATTTTAATCCTTGAGTCGATAAAAAGCTCAATTTAGTCCCCAAACTTTTCTAATATGGGTTAAAATAGCTCCAAAGGTGGATTATTTCTACCCCAATTTAAAAAGTATAAGGACAAATTTAGCACTTTTATAGACTTTGAAACAAAAATATCTCAACGTAAAATAGTTAGAGGCCTATTTTGGCACTTTACTCAACTCTAAACAAAAAATAAACTTTTAGATTGCCGATAGGCATTCTGAACTTTCATTGCAAACTAAAGGTTGAAAAAAGCAATGGCATTCTTATGTCATGAATTGGTGATGAATGATGAAACATTTAAGTCACAGATTCAACCCCAAGTTTTTTTTTTTTTCTTCTATAAAATCGCGCCTACGACTTAGAAAAAGGCGAAAAACTGAATAACTAGATCCAAATGAAAAAATAAATAAAGAAAATTACCATGGTTTCTCAACAGAAATAGAATCATGCATATTTTTATTCAGGTTATTTGACCGTTAAGAAGACATACCTGGTATGTCCACTCTTCAGAAGATAAATCCAATGTTCCTTTTTGGCCCCTCAGCTGTACAGGACCAGTAATTCCAGCACCAGTGAGGTCAAAAAATGCACCATAATTCTAAAAAAAGACGGAGGAAAATCAAATTAAATTATTATTATGACAAAATTACTAATCAGAAAGTCAAGGCAACCATTATGAATGCTCACAAAATAAGTTTCTCTCTTCCTAAATTCAAACAAATTACCTGCAAAATAAGTTTCTCTCTTCCTAAATTCAAACAAATTACCTGCAAACCAACTGTTGCACTCAAAAGATCAATTTTATTGCTTCCCGGAGAAAAAACAATGGGATTATCAAAGGAGATTTTCGTCCCCTGCGCGCTTCCTGCAACAGATGAAAAATTAGCCATCTCAATCATTTGGCTTAGTTCATAAAAATTTTTAATTTTATCACTGAATTTCTTACTCATCAGAAATCCTCTCACCTGAATGAATACCATTAACAAAAACATGGAGAACATGGCCAAGTGATTCTATATGGAGATTTGATTGCAAAGGGCCATTAAGAAATGACTCACTTCCATTTACATCAATACTGCAACAAATAAATTACATATAGTTACTAATGAAAATAAAAAAAAATTAATTTTTGATCTATTTACAAATAAAACCAGATGCTCACCTTATTGAATACCAGAGATAATCAGTACTGTCACTAGTGGTGCTTATCTGTTCCAGTAACCCATTTTTCTTGAAGGCATTGTCTTTCGATATACCGATGGGTTCATTAACGAAAGTCCAATCTGATGGTGAAGAAATAGAGGAAGCAGCTGGTTTATCTGAGGATTGAGGTGCAGAGTTCAGATATAAAGCTTCCACAGTAGTAGATTGAGAGTTGATCTGCAAGAAAATAATAATTTAAAAATTACAGTTTTTCAGAAGCCTTTGCATTGTACATACATAATTGAAACAAACAAACTTTCTTGGCTCCATTAACAATTACTGACTCAAAAAGTTCAAAAACAAGTTTGAAAAAGCCGTACTGCACAGTACACACTAATCTAGTTCATTTCAAATTGTACAAAAATCTTAAAGTGGTATTTATATAAATACCACACAATTCTTACGTATTTACATATCTAAAACAAAAAATTTCATTTACATGCATAAAACTCAAATCTTTAGTATTTACATATCTAAAACAAAAAATTTCATTTACATGCATAAAACTCAAATTTTTAGTATTTACATATCTAAAACAAAAAATTTCATTTACATGCATAAAACTCAAATCTTTAGTATTTACATATCTAAAACAAAAAATTTCATTTACATGCATAAAACTCAAATCTTTAATTTCACATCAAAAAACACTCTTATTTACTTTTTAAAAGTGACATACAACTTTTCATACAAGGTTTATGACACCAACATGTTATAAATGTAATATAAAATTATAGATGTTAGATATGGTTAGATATGTAAATACAGTAAATACATAAGAATTGTGTGGTCTCTCTCTCTCTCTCTCTCTCTGTTGTGTGTGCGTGTTATAGGCCTACCTGGGCAGTATTGAAGACCACATTTTGGCAATCAGGAAGGATGCTAACAGACCATGGAGGTAATTGGTAAGTCTTGCCATTAAAAGTAACAGATGCGGTGGACTGAGTGCCAATATTAGCAAGAAAAGCTGCACATTTCCCGGAATTTGTTTTATACACATGTGCCTACATATGAAAACAAATCAGTATTATGCTTAATTAATATGACATTTTAGAAATATCATAGAAATCTAAGAAGAGTTTTCACTAGTATAGGAAATTTAAATGTGGCATTTACATACATAACATCCAAATCCTATGTATTTATATATCTAACACCAAAATTTACTTTTTTACATTTATGCCGCCCAAATCATTCATATTGCATAAAAAACCACTATTTTAACTCTTAAAAAAGTGAAATACACCTTTTCATGTATAGGCAAGGGGGCATATATGTAAAAATTTAAGTTTAGGTGTTAGATATGTAAATACATAAAAATTGAGTGGTTTGTATGCAAATCTTCCTTTATCGAATCATTTATTGAAATGAACACATTAGATATCAATCTGCAAAAATTAATGAGGATACATGGAATCAAGATTTCCTCTCTTTTAAAACTTCCCCCATCACCAAGCATAAGTATTATTAAAAAAAACAAAAAAATTTGGTTTCCATATTCAAGGTTTTATTTTCCTCATAAAGCTAAGGTTTAAAAAAAACAACCACAGAAAAAAAAAAGAAAAAAAAAAGTCATAGCATGTCAGCAATGGGTACTTCCTTCATACTGCATTACAAAATTACTGTGGAGACGTCATAATTCTTATGTAATTACACATCTAACACTCAAATTTTAATATTTACTTTATAAGACTCAGATAATTAACATCAACAAAAAATACCACTAATATTAACTTTTCTAAAGTGAAACACACATTTTCATACAATGTCTTGATTTGATTATGAGACTAAAGTATTATATAAGTAAATATCAAAATTTAAGTGTTAAATAAGTAAATGCATTAGAATTAATTATTCTTAACATAAAGTTGTGTAAGTAAATATCATGAGTACTAAAAAGTATAAGCAAAGCTATAAATGAACCAAAACCATCATTTATGTGCCTGAATCAATCTTTCTTATAAGCTACTTTTAAAAAATCAATTAACACTTTCAGTCATAGAGGCAACTTAAGTTATAATGTAGTCAAAGCTATAAATGAACCAAAACCATCATTTATGTGCTTGAATCAATCTTTCTTATAAGCTACTTTTAAAAATACTACAATTAACACTTTTCATAGAGGCAACTTAAGTTATAATGTAACTAAATACTAAATACTAACGTCAAATAAAATACGAAAAGAAGATTTACATATATACCCACTCAATTCCTATGCATTTACATATCTGACACCTAAACTTCAATTTTTACATTTGTCACCTTACCTATGCATAAAAGCAATTCCTATGCATTTACATATCTGACACCTAAACTTGAATTTTTACATTTGTCACCTTACCTATGCATAAAAAGGTGTGTTTTACTTTTTAAAAGTTTCAAATGTGATATTTTTCATGTGATATGAAAGATATAAGTGGTATAATGTAAAAAAGAAGGTTTGAGTGTTAGATATGTAAATACATAGGAATTTTACAGTAGATATGTAAATGACCCAATAAGAAAATGTTATGTATTGATAGCTAGTTTAGCATGCGCACCTCCAAATTTGGACCAAGAGAGGGACTCGTTGGGTCAGCCGACAGTAATGCTTCTTCACAAAGCTTTATGGCTTTATGCAAGTCTGTTAAGTGGCCCCATTTAGGCTGCCTAATTATACCTACACAACACAGACAGTGATAAAAGACTTTCAAACAGAACCATATCTGATGAAATATCAATAATTGAAAACGGTAAATTAATATAGATCCAAACAGTAATTGTTTTCAATCTAAAAATTAAGGGGCCATTCGGGATCAATTTTATTTTTTGGCTTTTGTTTTTTATTTATCTTTTTTGTTTTTATTTTGTTTTTGTAAGTTTCGATTTGAAACAAAACATGTTTGGTGTGTTAAAATAAAATAAGATTGTATTTTAAAACACTCAAAATATGTAAAAGTTGTTTTAAGTATTTTCAAAAACATGTTAATTTATTTTTTTAAAACAATAAAAACATCTTAAAAATACACTAAACAAACATGTTTTTAAATACAAAGAGAAAAAATAAAAAGTAAAAATAAAAGCGATCCTAAACAAGACCAAAGTATCTTTGACTACAGTTATGAACTTCCCATCATTACTGTAGTTGTAAAATTAGTTACACCATAGGAAGATTCGGTGGAATGTTTAGGATCATTTAATCGCCAGCATTTTTTAATTTAATATCTTCATTTTCATGTTTTATTTGTTTTACAGAAAATTGCTTTGAACTCTGCCATTTATCAACACCCTGTTTGTACTTTAATGTTGAGTAAAATATGAGAAAGTAGAGCCATGCTTGAAATTGAAAATTTTGATTTTCTTCCCCCTCAACTTTATGGATGATAAAAATACCCAAAGGTTGAAATTCCATTAAAATTTGAGTTAAATTGAAATAGATTCAAAAATGCTTCAGTTAAGTTTTGAGTCGGGCTCGGGTCCTATAACTCAAACAACAACAATAAAATCAACAAGCCTTTATCCTGCCAAGTGGGGTTGGCTACCTGAGTCTTTTTTCTCCATTATGTCCTATTGAGTGTCATATTTTCATTTAATTCTAACGTTTAATGTGACCAAACCATCAAAGACAACTCTCTTTAATATTGTTCAACACTAGAGCAACACCTACCCTTTCATGGATACATTTGTTTCACATTTTGTCTCTAAGTGTCAAAAAACTCATCCACCTAAGCATTTTCATCTCAGCAACACTTAACTTAGTTTTATGCTTCTTTTTTATAAACTTACATTCTGCGACATAAAATATTGCAGGCCTCACCACCATCTTATAAAATTTTCCTATAACTCAAAAATGATTTAAAATAAATTCAACTCTAGATTTGACCACTAATTTTTTTATTATATTTATAATAATACTAAATAAAAACTATTAGGTGATTACAACGTAAAATAACTTAGCCTTTGTCATTTCACACAAAAATTTGGCTAGTTATAATATAAATTAAGTTGATCGTCATTTTCTCTCACAAGAGTTTTTCGTCTCAAATTCAAGCCTAATAGTAAGATTTTTCTATTGTAAGGGTTTGAGTGATAGGCAACACAAATCCAATAGTGTAGTGCATAAGCCCAACACAGGGGCGTGACCAACTTTATGTTGAGGGTGAGCATTTATGTTATATGATGTTAATTTTAAAACTTTGTCCACCCTAAAAAATGGGTTGGTTCCTCCCATGGTTCAACACCATCTCCGCCACCATGGCCTCTTCTTGACACATGTTAAACAATATTTTCTCTAAAAAATACAGCCTTCTTTGCATTGCATAGTCTTAATTGTAATCATAAATAGCTCCTCAAAGGCAAGTATAACTAGCCCTTCCTGTATAATAATATCTCCTCCACTAGCAATACGGAGCCACCTTAAAATTGTACATTTCTCATCTTCATTTCTCCATTTCCTATCTAAATATTCCTTCTTTATTACAACATTGAATTTTAGTTTTCCTAATATCTACGAGAATATAATAATAATTGGATGGAAAATTAAATAGCAAGCACATGTTCAAAGTTTGATATTTCACAATATTTTGCTTTAGTTGTTATCTTCAACTTATATTTGTACAAGTTTCATTAACACATGGAAGTAAGAATTTTGCTAATTGTCTATTTATTTATGTTATATATTCTTCCACAATATCTTGTTTGAATATTTCTTTGAAAAAAATAATTCATTAGAACATTGTAAATATTTGTAAATTAAATTGTTTAAAATTTTTTTTACCTTTTAATTATTTTTCCTTTAATCATTTTTAATTTAGATGGTTTCTAGCTCAAGTCAACTTGAATTATTTGTGAGTTTTCATATAATTGAAATGAGATAAATTTTAAAATAGATCATTGACTCTTTCCAAGAGATCATTTTAGTCTCAAAATCTATAAAGGAATCAATTTAGTCTCTAGAATTTTTTAATATAAACTGAAATAGACCCTACACGTGACTATTTCAAACCCAATTTAAAAGTTTTGGAGACTAATTTAGCACTTTTATCGACTCAGGCACTAAAGTAGCTCCACATAAACAAGCAGAGAACTATTTTAGCCCTTTAATTGAAACATTTCAATCAGAGGGTCTCCTCAAAAAGTTATCGAGTTCATGTCATGTAAATTTTGAAGATTTCAAGTTTGAGTTGATGGTAAATTGCTCAAACTCGTTCTAATACACTTTTATTATCCTCAATTGAATAGAACTCAACTAATACAATTCTAGCTCAGCAAAAATCCTACACATTTAAGTTAATTTATTTTTTTTTATTAAATTTAAAATTAATTTTGTTTATCATATA